TCTTGTGGTTCGACGTTGTCGACAGGGTCAAACTGAGTATCTTGTAAAGTGGCGGAAATACTCCGACTTCAAGAACTGACGGGAGTTTGAAGTGTTATTTCGGCAAGACCGCTCACACGTCATAAACCATTATGGTCAGAGTATCACAACGTTCCGCGTCGTCGTACGCCCCGCACTTCTCGACTATAGCCAGGAAAGCCGAAGGGTCATGAGCTGAGCTCTAGCTATGACCCTGAGCTGCTGCGGTCGCAGAGATACCCGTGTGAGAGACCAAAGACCTCGCGATGAACAAATCAGTTTGATTAGGCGCAACAAGTTAACGTTTTTAATGCATTTAGATCATGTTGCAAGTGAGTAGGATAAACTATCTCAGAAGTGAAAAGGCATTGTATCGTCTCAATTATTGCAGTAACTCATGTCAAAACCTTGATTAAATATAACGACAGCGCATATCAAAATAACCTGAATTGAATAGCACACTTATTGGCTTTTTTAAGCTCAACACAATCCCACACCATCGAGGTGATCAACTCAAGAATAGGCGTCTGAAAAATTATTTAAGACGCCTATTCTTGAGTTGATAAGAGCAGCAGTTGCAGCTTTCCAACAGTAGCGTCTCACATAAGAGCCGCTACTTTTGTTACATTTATATACAGTAGTCAGACACGCTCGAAAATGCTCGGGTTTATAAATCCATTACTCATTATCTCATCTAGTGGTATATCAGATTGCTCTAAGCTTGTCACGACAACATCATGAAGAGTGTTCTTTTGTCGGGTTTTGCAGTCGCTGGTGCAGTCAGTCTTGCCGTCTCAGCTACTCAGTGCGATCTGAAAAGTATAAAAAACACTTTGTTGTCTAATTCAACTATCAAAGCAAAACTGGATCCTGCGCAAATAAAGTGCAGTGAAGACTCTGGAATTGACATGTTTGCAATCACGGAATTCCCGTCGAAGGAGACAGCACTTGAAATTCAGCAGAGCGACAAAGGTTGTAATATTCTCATCAACCTCATCAACGGCTACACCAATATCAACACGCAATGCACCATTCAGATAAATGGGACCACCGTGACGTATGGAAGGTTGATCAGTGACTTTCTTGATGGAAAGACTGGGAATGAGACTGATTCTGTTAGCTCTTCTGGAAGTGAGAGCGAGTCTTCTAGCTCAGCATCCACGTTTGGAAACAGTGGGAACTCTTCGTCATTGCCCTCCACATCCGGTGCATCAACCTTGTCGCTGTCTTTGGTGACTTATGGAGTCATTGCTGCTATCACGGCAACCACGTGCTACACAAGCGAGTACGTTTAAGCTGCCTCAGTATAAGTGGAATACTGATCGAGAGGAATCGAATTATAAATCTTTATCTGATATTCTAATTTCACATTATTTATCAATATATAAACGGTATTATCGTAGACAGCTGGGTACACTTAGATGATGAAATAGATGTACATGATATCGCTCGCTATGATAAGAGATAATCGATGTCGATGCGACATCGCTTCTGAGCAACTTGGTTATCATCCTTCGAGTTGGTACTAAAGCTGTCAGCATTACGAGTACCATTTTCATCGCCAACAAAACTGTCGTTTTTTGTTAGAGTAACTGGATCTTGATGAGCCTGAACAGGTTGTTGAACCCTGGTGTTGCTTGCGTCAGTATCTCCGAGTTTGCACTCATCGACTATTCGAGCCTGCTGCATCATCAACACGATGTCCGAGACAGTGGCTCCAGCTTGTACTAATGATTCCACAAAGGACACATTAGAGTCATATACTGATATGCGACCTGTTGGTGAAAACTGAAAGCGATTCACTCCATTATAGACAATCTCACGACCGATAAATTTACTCTCCAACTCCTTGTTGCCAGCGGCATATGGAAAAACATTTTTAAATGTAGCTTGAGAAAACACGACATGCAAATCTGAGCGCACCGTCACAAGTGGGTTGTCTTCTTCTCCAGACACTTGGACGCCGACAACAACGACATTAATACTAGCGTGATAACTCGTATATCGTCTCCATTGGTCTATTAGTGCTTCAGTGCCACTTGTGTCTCCAAACTGCATCGTTGCGTCCATAGCACACTCAAGAAACGACAATTGCTTCCTTTCAAACGAGTCGTTCGAGCTGTCAATAGATTCGCTCATGAGGAGCGCCGGTCGCTTTTGACCAAGGCTATAAATCGAGGGCATGCCTCGCTCGAACAATGCAAAGTACTCGCTAACTAAGCGCACGAGAGAGCCGTCCAGACTGTTGCGACTATGCAGCGCCTTATTCGCGCGAATATTACACAAAAAATCAAGGTCGGCGACTTCCTGATGCAGCGAATTTACAAAATCCACCAGATCGTCCTCATATTTCTTGCGTCGAGCACGGTACGCACGGCCGCGCTCACTATTCGACTTGGAGTGTTTCATGATCCCTAACAATAAAGAATCGTCATCGGAGTCATCGTGCATTCCATCCATGTGTCGCATCACTAGTTGAGGAGTAGCTATCCGCACATATGTGCCACATGACGGCCCGGAGGCGTTGAGCCCGCGCATTATGGCGTCCCAAAGCTGAGTACGTGGCGGCTCGCCCAACCGTAGGCGTAAAGTTGGTTCTTCGTAAAGAAGATCGCTTTCAAGCTCCACCACACGCGCGTCGTTAGTAACAGATCTCTCCGAAGGAAAAATAACAGGCGACCTCCAGCGATGCATTGCTGGGACCTCGCACGTGTCAGTGTTATCGTAAATGAAACATCGCAGAATATTCTTATCGTGATAACGTTCCAAAAAAAGTGTTGAGGAAATAGCGGATAGAAAGTTACTCACACAGTTACATGATACATTTTAAATGTTGGGTACCCATATGAATCAAGATCAGAGCGATATAACTACTTCGGCATCTTTGCAGCTACTTTGGGCGAAATGGGAGATGAAGAAGTATAGTATTTAGCTCAAATATAGCCAAGGTGCACCACATTTTGCTTCGTTTTTGTGCACGTCTTTCGAATTGGCTGCATACTTACAGTAGAGCCCATTCGTCATATGTACAGTACGCTACTTGCACTTCTGAAAAGTCTAGATATGTGTCACAATGGACGAATTTATTTGGTTTTATTCTACATACGCTTTTTCATATGAGACAATAACAGATTATAGTAAACAAAAGTTTTGGACACAGAACATACAACGTCTCAAAAACTTTGATCTCGGTCAATGTGATCATAAGAATGCTACGATGTCATACCACGAGATCTTGACTGCTTCTCAGAACTGCTACGAACAGTAATCGCAGCAAATCCTGATACAAAATCTCAGTAGAAAAGTCATGTTGCTATCCTCAAGTATTGAGGTGAAATGATACGTGTGAATGTTTGGAAGCATAAATATCGCACTAATAATAAATCTTTCAGACGTGTTTTTACGACATAGATGAAACTGACAATCGATCGCCTTTGTTCCCCGCATTTGGTATTCAATTCGTTTCTCCCAACTATCCAAATTCGAGTATGACAACTAGATTTAGTTATCTATTATATGTGAATATCGTTCTCGTCCACATATTAGATTAAGCATCTTCAATTTCGATAATATATAAATTTGTAAACGCGTTGGTCAATATGTCAGTCTACATACTGTCGACCCAAGATAATTAGTCTTACTTGATGCGAGAACGTGCTGACGAATCAGCTATTGAGTCGCACATTTACGTGTTTCTCGGTAGCCAAATTTTTCCCGCTCAATCTGCTTGATGACCGCAGAGTTGTCGATCCGCGTGGTCATCGTATCCATTCATTTCTCACCAATTATAATGTTGAAACTTGGATCCAAATTATATGAGACGACCCAGAACCAAATGATACTAATCAACCATTTAGAGTTATCGAGATA